ATTCAAATAACATTCCAACAATGCCAGCAAATGGTTATCAAAGTATTTCTAAAAAAGATCAGACTATTTTATATTAATTATTAGTATTACAAGTAGAATATTTTTGTTTTTTTCATATAAGTAGATATATAAAAAAATATTTAATTAAAATACTTATTGTTAAGTATATAAAATTTCAAGTGCAATAATTACAAATTTTAAATAGAACAAATGTTTAAGGTAATAATAGGTAGAAGAATAATTTTTTAACTTTGTTTACTAGATTTAATAAAGTAATATAAAAATAATTACAATTTTTTTATTTGTTGAATTTTATTTTGTAAATTTTTTTTTTGAAGGAAAATTCTTCTTTTAATTTTTTTAACAGTAATATCTCCTTCAGGAGTAACAGTTACAGTAGCAATACCAGGTGCAGTAGTTAGTTCTCCTGATACATTATGATATGCTTTTGGTCTTCTAGGTTGCATTACTGGCACATCAACTAAGCATTTATTTTCTAAAACAATACAAAAAAATATATAAATATATATGAAGAAAAATACATTATTGAATATATATAAATATATTTATATAAATATCATTTTTATAAAAATTAAATATAGAATTAATATTTACTCAATGTTGTATATATTGGTAGACCAAGACTAATAGATGTTTTAATACGAATAGAACGAATATTAACCCAACCTCCTGGATAATTTTTAGATAAATAACGACATGTTGCTAGTATATTTTCTAAAATTTCTTTTTTCTTCATAGAAGTGTGTCCAACTTGAACTATATGCGTATCACCATAGGAATGAATTTGCATAACAGTTTTCCTTAAAGCATATTCTATTTCATGCTTTAAATCTTTACTAAGCATTCTAATAGATGTTGGCAATTTTCTTTTTTTATAAAATTCTTTTCCCAATAAATGAGATAAATGACCAGCTATTTTTCCATCTACAAGAAAATAATCATAGGTGCCAACAAGTTTTCTTTTTAATTCATATTGATCATATTCAGTTTTCACTTGATTCATTGGTATTATACTTTTTATTTTTGTACAATCATGTTTGCGTAGTAAATTTTCATAATATTCTATTGTTGGTTCATAATCTCTTCTTCTTCCTCTTTGGAGATCACCAACAAAAAGTGCAACTTCATCATTTGATGATACTATTGAATGTGGTAATAATCTAAAAATAAATTGTATAATAAATAACATTTTGATAAAATTAAACTTGCTAATTTTTAATTATCACGATTTTTCATAAAAATTAAAAAATGCATCGAATATATTATAGATATGCGTTAAATTATAGTAAATTTAATATATAAAAATAATTTGTTATTATTTAATAAAATAGATATATTGAAAATATATAAACTTACATTCTCATAAATCTTCTTGGAGTTTTAGGTACTCTAATACATGTTACTTGCATAAAAATCGATTGACTTTCATCTTCAAACAATGCATTGTTAGTTTTCAATTTTTCTTCAGTTAAATCACAAATAATGTTAACACATTGTAATATATGTTTCTTTGATAAATCATTAAAATTCAAACAATCTATATCTTCATTACTGTTATTACAGTCTTTAACTTTGTTATCTAACATTCTCATTGTCATTTACCTCTTACATGTGCTATTCGCTAGTAACTGAACAATAAAAGAATAACTTTTCTTCAAAAAACTTCCTAGCTATTGCCAACTTATATGATTTTATATAAAACTATGTATATAATTAAAATATTTATTGATGTAATACATTACAAAATTGATGATAATTTATATGATAAATATAAATTGATTACAATTTTTAAATATTGTGCATTTGTTAAAAAATTAAAAAAGGTACAAAATTTATATATATGTATATATATATATTAAACTAAATTTATTTCGTTAACGATTTATCAATTTTTTATTATACTTTTGTTATTATAATTTTTTTATATATCGATTAAAATTACTTATAAATAATTTTTATCTTTTAATGACGATATTCATGTTAATACAACAAACAATTTCAATTATATATCAAATTTATGTCAACTAAAATAATTCGGTTCTTAGTGGTTAAAATTTAAATATTTAATATGTGTATCATTAAATATATTTATAAAAATATATTAACATATTTACGATCAATATATTTAAAGAATAAGTAGTTTCATATTTATTTTTATTACAAATATTAAAGAATTGAGTTATACAAGCGCGAATTTTGAAATCTAAACATAATCTTCAATATGTTCACAATAGATATAATTGATGGATAATAATAACTTAAAGTAATAAACTTATTAAAAAAAGATATTGATAGCTTTAAATAAGCTATAAGCTACTAAGAATTATTTTTTCGTTATTTTTAATATTTTTTTTTAAACTTAAATTTTTCTTGATAAAATAAAACAAAAAACAAGGAATGCGATTTTTTTTATTATTACAGAAGATAACGTTAACAATTTGCTACACCACAAATCGTTACACTTGGTTAACCAAGACAATCGAGATCAACGATTACTTGCAACACACGTCAAAGGTAGTTTCAGTTGTTGGTCAGACTTGTTTCTTTCTTTTAAACATCTTTTCATCCATCACCTCATTATATTTCATTAATCTTCAAATTAATAACAAAAATTCATATTGTTCTAACAACAATGTTTGAATAGCGTGTCTTACTAATTAGCAATTTCATTTCATTCAAGAGAGTAATTTTAAAATAGAAAAGCAGCTTGTAAAGAACGCAAAAGCGATTAAGTATTACCGATATGCTTCGGTTAATACTTGCTATATTCTGTCGTCGAAAAAGTTTGAAACGCGATGCTCGGAATTTCACAATATTTGAAAATACTATTAATTTTATGTATTGGTTGTATAATTTTTTGTGTTATTTTTCTTACTTTTCCAAGTTTGCTTAACAAAAAAGTTAATAAAGATATATTTATAAAACAAATAGAACATCGAAAGCAAACGAAAGAAAGTTTAGTGATTTTATCAAAAAAACGAAATTTTACAAAAGAACAGGTATGTGTGTCTTTGATTGAAATTAATTTTCTATTATTATTTAATTAAACTATTACAAAAATAAAAGAAATATAATAAAAAATATTAATGATAAAACAAGTTTTATAGAATTTTTAATAACAATTATAGCATTATTAATTCGCGCCTTTATTCGTATCAGACTGATAAAACATCTTTACTTGGAAGATGGCTCTTGTCTTCTGAAGGTAGTTTACCGCCAACGATTATAAATAAAAAAAGGAACCGTATTTGATTTTAATTTGGAAACATGGAAAGTTTTTGGAACGCAGGCATATCAAACGTTTTACAAATAAAAAGTTAATATATTACAAGTATATTAAAAATTAAACATATAAACAATATTTATATATAAACAATTATTAATAATACTAAAATTGATACATAAATTTATTTAAGTTTAAATTTAAATATGATCTTTTAATTTAATATGATCTTTTAATTTAATTTTAGATTTTCACCTTGGAATAATTGTACAGTTAATCGATGTATATTGAGCTATCGATCGAAAGATTTAGATATAGCAGATGCAGTTGTGTTTCATTTACATTTGACACAGAGCGCGTTGGAATTACCGACTAGAACTCGATGGAACCAAAGATGGATTTTTTTAACTGACGAATCACCAATGCATACTTTTCTTTATGGAAATCAACAATTATTCAAATATAATGGTTTATTTAACTGGTCAATGACTTATCGAATGAATAGCGATATACCAGTACCTTACGGTAGAACGATTTCTACATCCTTTATACATTCACCAGAAATAAATTTCTCAAAGGATGTGATAAAAAAATTAAAAACTAAACTAGTCACTGTGATGGGTAGTAACTGTGCAGGCACGAATGGACGATGGAAATATATTAAGGAATTAAAACTAATTTTCAATAATGATCTTGACATATATGGAAAATGTTTAAACGGTAATACGACTGCGTGTCCAGGTCATTTCGATAAAGATTGTTCTGCTTTAAATGCATATAAATTCTATTTAGCTTTTGAAAATTCAAATTGTAAAGAATATATAACAGAAAAAGTATTTTGGCATGGTTATCACAAATTAGCAATTCCAGTGATAATGGGTGCATCAAAAAAAGATTGTGAAAAATTATTACCACCACATTCATTCCTTCATGTTAATGATTTTGCAAATCCAATGGCTTTGGCAAATTACATTCGTTACCTTAATCAGCATGATGACAAATATTTCGAATTTCACGAATGGCGTAAATATTATAAAGTAATCAATGAACATGGTTATTTTGGTAGTATTTCGCGCCATTATTGTCGTATTTGTGAGGCTCTTCATTATAATTTTCCTATTATTAAGGTTTACGAGGATATAGAATCATTTTGGAATAAAAAACGAGATTGTACTTTTTGATATTTTTTAATTCTGTTTATTTTGTATTGTTGTTATTATTTATTACTATATATTAATCAAATTTTTATATTTAAAAATTTTAATATAAAAGAAACTTCTTATTTTTTTGTTTATAATTACTTACTGTATTTGCATGTTTTATTTTAATTATATGCAATATTTATTATATGTGAATTGAAAAAATTTAGTAAATTATAATAAATACGTCTTTTTCTGTAATAAATTAGCATAAATATTATGTTTATTTTTAAAAAAAGAATGTTATTTATGTTAACGATAATTAATTAAATGAATTAAAATTTTAATTTAAGTTACATTTATAATGATTCAATTAATTTATAATTAAATAATAAATTATTTAATTATATTAAATAAATGTAATTAATAAATTTAAATAATGAGTAAAAATAAATAATGAATTTATATTAATATTATTATATTGCATTATAAATATATATATGAAAAACAAGATATGTTCATACATAATACTTTTATTACAAATTCTTTTATAAAAATATTAGGTTAGAAATTCTGTTATTTTTATTTTAAGAATACATGTTAGAATAAACTAGTTTTAATCACGTTACGTAAAAACTTTTAATTTACGTATCTATACAAAATATGATAATAAATAACATCATTGAAAAATTTTCAAAAATGTTTATATTTCATATTTTCAAATGTTGCAATGTGTAAGATCGAAACTTCAAAACTTCATTTCGTTAATACGGTTAAAACAACAATTTTTAGTGAAATATCATATTATTTTTTATTCTATATTGCGCCATAGAACATATTGTAATAATCTTTCTGTCATGGCATCGAAATGTTTTAAAGGAATAATGATCATTATAATGGCATAACTATCGATTCAAATGAAGAATCTTGCACGCCTCAAGTATTTGCACATCGTCTTACAGGTATGTAATATAAAAATTATTAGAAAATTCATAATTATTATTTTTTTCAAAATCAAAGAATTTAACAATTAGAACGTTTGT